CCTCGCTAGCATATTTATATCGACTTTTCTATGGAAAATAGTAGAAAGATGTGTTAAATCATCCAGGGTAAGAAAATGAAAAGAAACAAATAATTCGACTTGAATCCTTGAAAAAAACGGCCGGAAACAGTTTGATGATTTATGTAACAAAAGATGATATTCGATGTACAAGAAATGCACTTAAACAATCAAGTGTGTTTTATTCTATTAATCTGAGGATATATTTTAGTCGATAGTAGGTAATTTTTTATATCTTTATCTTATAATCCATTTCCATTGGATTAAATATACAAGAAAAGCAACAGAAAACATAAAGAATAGTTAACTCGTAAAGAAAATATTCTAAAAATAATAAATATTTCGATTGTTTTTTTCTTTTCACTATTCACTTTTCCCTAGTTGATTATCGAAGTAGATTTCACTAGTTAATAGTTATCTAATGCTATGTGTTTCTGTGCGTTAATTTCATTCGTCGTAATATCGTTCTTTGTTTCTTTCTCTTTATTCCTTTGCCTCTCTCTCTCTCTCTCTCTCTCTCTCGTAACGCACTAACAACGTAAGTTGGGAACATTTGTATTTTAGGTATTTGTATAGTAATCCTAACGATCAGCTGATTAGAACATTTTTGACAAGATTAGTTTACATTAGAATATTTTTAAGATAATTAAAAATAGAAATTTTTGTATGAATAATTAGAATAAAAATTTCTTTTACTGTATGTCAGCAGAATTTTTTGCATGAATTGAATATATAATTTTTTTACACTAATGAACAGAATAAAAATATATCTAAGTGTATATTAATAGAATGATCTTTATAAAAGATAGAGAGAAAGTCTTTGTATAAGCGAAAGAACCGAATCTTTTGCTGCATGATAATAGAATTTTTATGTTTTGTCTAGAAATGAAGTTTAAAGTATTGAACACAATGAAAATATTTTTCACTGGGTCTTAATAGAGTTTTCGTCGCATGCACTTAAGTCACAAGCGTTTGTATATATTAAGAGACTATAAAACTCTTGCTGCATGTATATAGAATATTTTTGTTTGAATTAAATATAGAATTTTTTAGAGCAATGAGTAGATTAAATAAAATTGTTGAGTAGTTATAAAATAGTCTTCGCAAGATATAGATGAGAAGCCTACATGAGTGAATGATCGCGATCTTTTAATGCATGCTTACAGAATTTTTGATAAGTGATTAACCCTTTCCGGTCGGATGTTGCCATTTGGCAACATTTAGTCAATATTTCTAGGATAGCTTGCTTAGAGTAAAGATATAAAACTTTTTAACTATTCGGTAATTATTGCAGTACATTTCAGGATACACTCACGGTTTCTAATACAAAAAGGAACTTTCCGTTGGGAGCATAGCCGAATTTATCTACAATATCCCATAGAAGCCATTCAACCGTAAAATACATTTTCCTGCAGATTGACTGATTCAATACTAGAAGTCATTAGCTGTAAATTTTGCTGCTTAGATCTATTGCATATTGCATTGATAAAAAGGATTGTTCAGTAAATCCGAACAATGAAAATTATAGATGTTGCCATTTGGCAACAGCCGGCCGTAATGGGTCAAAAAATTGAAAAATTTTTTTTTCGATTTCGATCATCAAAATGCACTATTGTATGTCTTTTCGTTTGTTTAAAAGGTTTTTAGAAGAAAGTACGACTCAAACATGTATAGAATGCTTTCCACAGCTTTTTTCAAATTCAAATCCAGTTTTTAGTGACAAAATTCAAATTTGCTAGCCTTCAGAGTGTAATAACCGAACAAGAATAGGTGCATCGTGAGTTAAATGCAGACGTTGGCGTAGGTCTTTCATTTATCTACACGCACATTCATATTCAAACCAATTATTGTTTTTTATGTCCTTTTTGGAGAACTGCAAGTCTCGTGCACTGGAGTTTTGTCACTAAAAACGAAATTTAAATTCTGAAAAAGCTGCATGGAGGAGCTCTATCTATGCTTGAGTAATTCTTTTCATGTTTAAGTGTTTTTAATAAACGAACAGGTACTGAATAATGCATTTTTATAATCGAAATCGAAAAAAAATTTGTCAACTGATTTGACCCCTTTCGGCCGGGTGTTGCCAAATGGCAACATGTAGTCATTGGATACAAAGAAAAAATTTTTATTCTGAAAATATATTTTTGGTATCACTGTGGTGGAGCAACAAAAAATATGCAAGACAATATTTTCTTGCTGTCTGCCTTCTGGGAGCCGGCTGGAAAGGGTTAAGGAATAAAGTTTTTCGAAAGTGAACAGAATAAAATCTTTTTATCGTTTGCAAACTTTATCTATCATATTTAGGATATAGATAGTTTTTTCATCGCTCCATTCTTTGTGTAATGTGTTAGCAATATAACTAAATGAAATAATTTTAAGCAATTAAAGTTTAACGTTCGTTACCCCTAGGTATACAATTACGACTATTTGTATTTTAGACCCTCTTTCCATTTGCTATTGAAAGGCAACAAATTAGTAGTACATGAAATCCATTAAAAAAATAAATCCACTAGGAGCAGCAGTAGAAAGTAATCGGTGAATAATTGAGTATAGGAGTACGATAAAATACATTGAAATTTTTTTCAATATTGAATACTAGTTATTTTTTATAAGGAAATTTCTATGTATACTCTCACAGTTATCAAAAAAAACCCAACAAGAGAAAAAGGATTGTTACATATACAGGAAATGAAAATAACATGCAAATTCTATTAAAAAATGTGAACTATATTTAGAGATATAAGTATATCTAACAATCTTTTTTTTCTCTTGTTGTTTTTCTTTTTGATAACTGTGAGAGTACACATAGAAATCTCCTAATGAAAAATAACTAGTATTCAATATTGAAAAATTTTCTATGTTTTATAGCACTTAAATACTCATTTATTAACCCATGAAAACGTAAATTTTCAACGTGTTTAAACATATGAAAAGTGTCCGATTTTTTGCATTTAAACGCGTTCACTTTGAAAATGCGTTTAAACGCGTGTGTTTCCACTCACTATAACGAGCTCAAAGTCAAAAATAATTCAACTGTTAAAACGCCAAAATTCGGACATTTGTTGAAAGAAAAAATGCGTTAAAAGAAAATAAAATAACGTTCGTTATAACGCGTTTTTTGCTTAATTTTGACTGCTAGGGCACCCACACCCCAATATGGTGGTAGAGTAATTTCATCAGTTAATAACACAGGTAATGGAAGATCAGACGGTTTGATAAATGATGCTGTTGCTACTGTTCGGTGATATTTGTCCGTGAGAAAAATACATTGTCGTGGTGAATCAATAAAGGTATTGTTTTCGGTAATCCAGTCGTTCCCAAGTAGCAGATCAGTTATAAGATTTGTCGCAACATCCGCCAAGATACATGTCTTATAACCTTGTATTTTAATTTCAACTTGAATTTCACCAATAATGTTAATGGATGTGGAATTAACCGATTTGTGTAATTTTTGTTTATAAACGAATTTCTTGTGATGAATATTTTTTAATAATTTTTTATTAATGATGGTGACTGCAGATCCAGTATCAATGATAGCGTGCTGTTGTTTGCTATTAACTTGCACTTTAATAAATATAGGACTTGATAATTTTGATGAAGTAACATTAGTTGTTGATGGATTTTGTTATTTATTACTGGAATCACCACCATCACGGGTTCCAGTTAATAGAAAACCTGCGGGCAATCATGTATTCGGTGATCTGATTGTTCACATTTATAACATCCATATGGTTTTTTATAATAACCATCAATGAGCCATGTTCACATTTCGCTTATAAGTCACCGGACAGCAAAAATAGTACCTAAAGAAAGAGTTAATTATGTTACTGAAGATGGCTCGTCTCTTTTGATCTTGTTTCTCTTCTCTTCTCTTGTCTTGCACAGAAGCTGTTCGTCATCGGCATCGTGCCGCTTCATTGCTTTCAACTTTTTTGTCTTTGATGTTTGCTAAGCTTATCTACAACATTGATTACATTGGAAAGTAATTTTATCTACTCTTTCCTCTATATTTTGAACGAGATACAAAACAAGTGAAATGATCTTTTTTTCAAGAAATATTTTAAAAATCAATATGTAAATATATTGGCGCTCCTGTGTATTCAACTCATACTGAGCCTTTTGTCTCTGCTCGCATTGAGACAATATTTTGTTACATATAAGTGAATTAATGACATTAGTTATAAGATAACTTTCTTGAAAAAAAGATCATTTCACTTGTTTTGTATCTTGTTCAAATATAGAGGAAGAGTAGATATCTTTACTTTTCAATGTAATCAATGTTGTAGATAAGCTTAGTAAACACCAAAGACAAAAAAGTTGAAAGCAATGAAGCAACATGATGCCGATGACGAACAGCTTCTGTGCAAGGCAAGAGAAGAGAGAGAGAGAAAGAAGAGAAGAGAAACAAGATCAAAAATGAAGAGCCATCTTCAGGAACATAATTAACTCTCTCTTTAGGTACTATTTTTGCTGTCGGGTGACTTATTAGCGAAATGTGAACATGGCTCATTGTACGATGGCTATTTCGTTGACATATATGGCAAGGATTCGATTGTGGGTGTGTTAGTTTTCGATGAATTAATTGATGCAGCGTTTTCCAATGGAATATGTTGTGTATTGCGGCGAAATGTTGATGATTGTGGGTTATAATTAAATGAACGTTGTTGTGATGATGTATAGCGCATTCGTGAGTGTATATTAATTTTTTTCCGTTGTTGGTAAAGACCTTCGGATTCATGTAATGTAGTTGTTCGTGGAGAATATATATGCTTCGATACGTTTGAAGGGATGTCATTCGTTTGTTTTAATGTTGTTGATACTGTATTTGCAAAATATGGCACAGAATGTGCTGTTTTTCAGATGCTGGAACATTTTCTTCTTGTATTTCTTCTTCATCTTTTGCAATTTTTAAAAATGCTTGCGTTGTTCGAGCTGATTCAGGTAATAATTTCATTTGTCGTTTAGTTTGAATCTTTAATGAATCTTTAATTCCATTTTCTAACCATGATATTAGCATTTTTTTGTGACATAGATGGATCATATTCATGACATAATTTAATAATAGCATCATAGTAAGATGTGATGGTTTCATCCGTTTTTTGTTTACGTTCTTTCAATTGTTCGAATATTTTTGATGATGAATTAGATGTTGTAAATCTTTCCATTAATGCTGACTTTAAATTCTCCCATTTGATTAAGGATATGTTATCTTCATAGGAGCGTTTTGCTTCATCATCTAATTTTGCCGTACACATACAATATAAGATATCATTATTTCCATCGATTAATTTCCCAATTCTTTCAATGTTGTTGATAAACTGTGAAATCCTATATTCTTCATTGCCGTTGAATTTTTGTAAATTTGATAAGCATTCACGATAACATATCATCATTGCGGAATCTTGCATGTTATTAGGCATTGTTTGAATATGTTCAAAAGCGTTATTAAATGATTCCAGAATTAATTTTTTAAATATACGTTCGGATGTTTTTGTTAGAAAATCACCGGTTGGTTCCGGGTCAATATCAATGCTTCGTAAATTGTAAGCCGTTATTTGTAATGTCAGTAAAAGGAAAATGTGATCATGTAACGTTGAATTTAATTGATAATGTTGTATGTATAATAATTCATGGAATTATTTTCTTCCTATTTATTATAACCTTCACAGACAATTCCTAACGGAACTATCTTTTCAATTCAGTTGAGGTTTCACAGACAGTTTCCAATGAAACTACCTCTAAATCAAAATGAATGGAAAAAGAATTCACTTACCGGGCTATATACGTATATATATATTTTTTGGTGATATATGACTTTCTTGCCTTGGATTGGTTCGTATTTTATTATTAGTGAATAATAATACGATTATCGGTCACGGCATCAAATATTAGAAGTTCAAGAGATCCAATGCTTCGTAATCTTCTATTTTAAAGATGGAAGTACATTAAAGAAAGATAACGAGAAAAACATATAGCATCACTCGATTGCTTTCTGTGAACAGAAGAAGAACTATATATATATAAAGAAAAACAAAGAGAGAGAGATGAGTAGGAGACATGATATCACTAGAACAAAGAAAAAGATAGATCAAATCATAACAACAAAGGTGATATCATGTAAATAAAAGCAAAAGAAAAGAAGAACGAAGGAAACAAGAAAATGAATAATAAGATGAATCTGTGTGAGGGCAGACCCGTAAGAAGCACTGTTTCTCTGTGGACCAATAGCAGGAGTAGTGACACGAATGGCAGTAGAAGGATAAGTATTTTGAGTGGTAGTAGAACGATCAGCATTTTGATTGATAGTAAGATGATGAGCTTTTGGAGTGGTAGTAAGATGGTGAGTCTTTGGAGTGGTAGTAAGATGGTGAGTCTTTGGAGTGGTAGTAAGATGATGAGTCTTTGGAGTGGTAGTAAGATGATGAGCCTTTGGAGTGGTAGTAAGATGGTGAGCCTTTGGAGTGGTAGTAAGATGGTGAGTCTTTGGAGTGGTAGTAAGATGATGAGTCTTTGGAGTGGTAGTAAGATGGTGAGATTTTGGAGTGGTAGTAAGATG